AAGGGAAGTAGATCGAGGTCTAAAAATTACACGCTGGGAAATCTAGATTTACCCAAACTGAATACTTGCTTTTCGAGTTAGAAATAAGCCTATAATTAGTTGTTTTATTTTTAATGATAGTAGCTACAAAATAGCAAAGATGTACGCTGAAATGATGATTAGCCGGATGTATCCTGTCCTTCTAATTATTACAATAAAATGGTTGTCTGTGTTATGAAATAAGTATGTGGTCACTGGACCGGGACCGTGAACTTAACCTTTGTCAAAAAGAAAAAACACGTCTGCAGGAAGAAAAAAAAAACAAGACTTTAATGAAAACAAACAACGTCAGTTAAATACTAATATCAGTCAGTCTTACCTGTCTGCAATACTATCAATTAAAAAAACAACAAGAGTTGCAGTAAGTTTGGGATGTTTATTAAGTATCCCGGTTAGTGTGTTTTTCCAGAATTTAAAACTTTGAAAAATTTTCTCAAATTTCACAGTTGGCTGGTTTCTTGTGACGTCAGAGCTGTATGCTTAAATATCGTGTTCTATAAATAACCGAATTGTAAGGTAACATCCCGCCAAATTTTAAGCTCTAGCGTTACAGCGGTCCTCAACTAGAGTTACCGCGGTCCTCAGCGTGCTCTAGATACAGCGGTCCTCAACTTGCTCTAGAGTTACAGCGGTCCTCAAAGGGCTCTAGTTACAGCGGTCCTCAACTAGAGTTACCGCGGTCCTCAGCGTGCTCTAGATACAGCGGTCCTCAACTTGCTCTAGAGTTACAGCGGTCCTCAAAGGGCTCTAGTTACAGCGGTCCTTCCTAAAATCAATATATTGACTCTAACACTAAAATAACCATAACCCAAACCAGTAGTGGATTAAAGAGTGACTATCAATTTAGAAACGTTACCAACTCCTAGGCGGAGGGCGCGGGTTGCGGTCTGCACCTGGTGACACCATTTAGGGGGTGACATTAAGTGGAAAAATCGTAAAATTTACTGCCCAAACAATGTCGCTTCCAGTTAAAATAATAAAACCGATGATACTAAATTGCTGGGGTGGGGTGACGCTCTTAGTTACCCCATCGAGTGACGCCACTGCCTTCTGCTACAGTAAGATTTTAACAAACAATTTTTATTAAGTCATAGTGCCTTTTACAAAAAATAAAATGTCTGCCCCCCCCCTATCGTTAGCTGAATGTCTATGGAAACTTAAAGCTGGAGGCACATCTATAGAGAAGGGTAGATGCTAAAATATGGTCGTGGTAGAGCATACGGCTACTAACCCGAAAGTCTCGAGTTCGAATCCCTAGTTTTGTGTCCATAGAGCGTCCTGAGTGCACTCAGTTCTGATGTGTATCTGACTTATGTTAGGGAAAGTAAAAGCGGCTGGGCATAGTGCTGACCACACTATCCCCTCATATTCCGAGGTCACTGAAACAGATAAACTCTACATCACATGACACCCATGGGCCGACAGATTCAAAAGAGTACTTTACTTTTAAAATATATGGCAGATTCATATCCTTATAATATTTTATAGCATAAAATCTAACAATTTAAACTACGTTATTACTAATTAATTAACGTAAATTACAATTAATTTTTTAAGTTAATAAAAAAACATTAAGTTCTAAATTGTAAGTTTGAGAAACACTGAATTTGACATTCCTGAGTTTGTGAGGTATCAATGTGTTTAAAAAAACTTAACATACAAGCTATAAGCCATGTTACCGATTGGAAATTCCCGTTGACGCTATTTCCGATTTTAGACGGATGTGTTTTTATACTGTTAAAGTGACATATTATAATTTTTCAAGGGGTAAGGGCAACAAAGTGCATCAGGAATTCCCCAATTTTTAGAAGAGGCTTAATTATTATCTTAAAAACTCTTTTTAAAAGACAACTAAGATAATTAAAACACTACTAGAATTGGTTTTACGGAATCTGATTGTGAACGTATTTTTGTTTTCATACGCAACAGTGTCGTTAAGTAAAAATGTGGAAATCCTTTCAAGACACCTTTACTTTCACTATGGTGAGTCAGTTACACATCAGAGCTGGATGGTTTCGTTCGCCCGACCGTACCATATAACACATTCCAGCCGTCAGAATGTGGAATCAAGGGTTGGAGCGGAGTACGGTGTTATATGGTGTGGTCGGGTGGTAAGGCTTACTACTGCTAACCTGAAAGTCTTGAGTTTGGATCCCGGGCTTGTCCCTGAGTCCATCCAGCTCTAATAGTTACCTGACTCAAGTTATGTAAAAAAAGCGGCCTAGCATAGCTCTGACCATATTATAACCTATATGCCGAAATTATTGAAATATATGAACTCTACTGCATCTGCAACATGTGGACTGGAACGGGGGAACTAAATACCGGTATGGGGAGTGATGGACGTGCTCAGAGGAGGGGGTGGGGCACTGGCAACACTTAAATTCCCCCCCCCACCCCAAATGTCTGCTCTGTAATTGTTTTATCAACGAGCTAATTTTTTTTTACTCTAAAATAAGACATTTGTCTCAGCTGTCTTGAAAGTCTACGGCTAGAAGAACGGCATTTTTATTAATGAAAAAATTGTGTGTCACATATCACATTTATGAAATATCCCCTACCACATACGTTTGACCCCTATTCACCGCACATATTCGTAGCATGTTTTTGGATTATGTGCCCCAAAACATATTACACTCCAAAGCATATCAGCAATTGGATATCGGCAAGAGATATGTGATAAACAAAAAACATACAGCAACGACATGTACATTAAGGTATTTATAAATCTCGGCCGAATATATCTATATTTTTTACGTAGTAAGATGTATTATGTTGGAGTTGGGGATTTTGGCTGACGCAGTGTGACTATAAATAGAATCGGTAATTCAAAATGTCGAATCACTATTGTATAACACAGTGTTGTTGTGTTCTATTTTCGTATGTTGAAAACAAGTCAAGCAACTAAAATTGCTAAGTCAAGCAAATGCAGTCATGTGTAAACTAAGAAATAACTTGGGTCTGATTGGAGGAAAAATGTTCGAACTATACAGGTAACAGCATAGGTCTGGTCGATGATCGGTCGTCTGATTACTACTGATGAAAGGGTCAATGATTTTGAGGAAAGAACAATTTTTAAAACTATCACTGACAACCATATGTTAGGGCTGAACAACAATTGTTTCGGGTTATGTTTTGATACTTTAAAGAGTAGAAACTAACTGAAAATAATTGTTCAATGTAGTCTATATTTTCAGCATCTTTTTCCGTTCGTGCTCAAGACACATGGGGCAGATGAGGTAGAGTTCTTCTGTTTTAATGACTTTGACATACTGGGGATATTGTAGTCAACACTATGTCCAACCGCCTCTGTTTCCCTAACGTGTATCGGGTACCCATCAGAGCTGGTTGAACTCATGGAGGTCTTACAGACGAGCCTAGGATTCGAGCTCAAGACTTTCGGGTTAGCCGACCACAATATAGTATACATGAAGGCTACTAATCTTTGTACTGCGTAGCGTGTTATTGTGTTCATAAATCGTACAGTGTGTAACACAGACCATTTCATAGACCACAATTCCTACAATAGACTATAGGAAATAATCTACATCAGTGGCGTAGCAAGGTCGGGTGTCACCCGGTGCGGCACTTAATGGTGTCACCCCCCCCCCAGAGGCATAGCGACCCTTCCCAGGGACAAACTTTAAAATTTTCTATTTGCACCCCCCCCTCAAGTTTTTCTCTATATATTTTGCTATTTTTTGCCTTGGTGTCACACCCGTAGATGATGTCACCCGGTGCGGTCCGCCCCCCCCCCCCCCCCCCCCCGCTACGTCTCTGATCTACATGCCACTTATCCCGCAACAGACACAACTAACAAAGTTTGTTTGGAACAGGTTCAGTTAAACAACGGTTACTCGCCTAACTGATAATGAAACTTGTATATACAGTTCTTGTAAACCTTCGGTAATAAAACATTTAACAGGAAAAGAATGGCGGAATGTTATATAACATGGCTCTTAACCACCGCTCGCCCAATATACAGTAGATGATAAATTGCATGATATGTGTTCACATATTTTAATTGTATTCAACAACAAACTAATACATTGAGCAAACACAAAGTGTATAACATTATAAAATGTGGGTAAAAAATGTTTCAAGAATCACGACTGTAAAAAAAGTTTAAAATAAAACAAAATTAATATTTAAGCATTCATATGTAAAACAGATATAATACTTCAGGCAATAATTGTAATGTCTTTAATTTCGGCGGTTGATGTCCTAAATGTATTCATTTAAATTTTGGCACCAGGAGGTAGCAGTTTCCTGTTTGTAGCAGGGGATATACGAGCTGATCTCAGAGTTAGTGACGTCAAACTGTTATGTCTATTCCAGAGTTAAGCAGGTGAAGTAGAGTCAATCAGTATGTGTGGCCACATTTGACGATATCGGAGGTCAGCCACACAGCAGGTTGGTTTGATGGTTGGACTCAGTGACAACCCACTCACATTGAAGAGGAAGGACAACCCGTAGTTCACACAATAGTGCACATTACTAACTTGGTGATATGTTAAAGGACGCCATGGTCGAGTGATAAAGCACACAGTTGCTAACCCTAAAATCTCGAGTTCGATGACCAGACTTAAGTAGGGCGTAGCTTAAGTCAGAGGAAAGAAAAGACAACTGGGTATAGAGCTGATCATACTGTCCCTTCGTACGTTAAGTTCAGAAAAACAGATGAACTCTACTGCATCTGTCTCATTATCCGTATGGTTCAAGAGGTTACACACTTTTACATTGAGGTGATAGCTGAAGATAACTAGCTTCTTTTAAGAACATGTAATGAATGAATCAAGGAGATGAAATTTGAAAAACATCGTCCATGACATCATCATCTTTTCCCATTTATGCCAAAGAGACATGGAGTAGATGAAGTAGAGTTCATGCGTTTCAATGAGCTCGGCATACAAGAGGATAATGTGGCCAGCACTATGCCCAGCCGCTTTTTTATCCCCTATCGTGAGAGATACCCATCAGAGCTGGGTGAACTCAAGGACGCTTTGCTGATTTGAACCCGGATTCGAACTCGAGACTTTCGGGTTAGCCATCTAGCTCCGCCCCATCGTACATGAAATATATACTATGAAACATAAACTACAAGGTATCATCAGCTAGGAGATCTGGTATGCCCTAATATAACAGCGTAGTACCCCTGCCTAAGATAGTGATCTGTGTTAGGTAGTGGTTCGTCGTGCGAGTAATGCTCTAACAAGTCTTCAATGGATGGTAAATAGTTGGATTGATCTAACGAAAACCGACCAGCTTGTTCGTGAACTTTGAACTCTTTCACTTGGAAAATGGGCGTCAGAAAAGCCAAGACCACGTGACCGGGTTTTGTGGCCCGGATCATGTAGGTGCCGTATTCTCGCGTGGATTGCAGCATCCGAGTTAGGTGATCAGGGTCCGGATGTGACTCTTGTACAGTTGCCATGGTTTCAAGGGTCATAGGCCAGTTGACGTAAGGGGAGTTGGTTTTGGGGAGGTAAGTGCGACGTGGGACGGTTGGAGGTTTATCGGATGGTTGAGTAGGTTTTGTAGGTTTATCTAGTGACGTGTCATCAGGAAGTGAGAGGTTGCTACTGTTCGAATCCCGTGGGGCGTAGGGTGAGATGACATTTGGAGCGTAGGGTGAAATGACATTGGGGTTAACAACATCAGGGAGAACTACAGATGTCGCGATATATCTGGTCGTGGTGGACAGTTCTTGCAACGTTTTGTCCAGATTGCCAACGGATGACCCAGTTCTTGGTGGTATTTTTGGAGCGATCGAGTCAGGCATTACAACACTTGTAGCGATTTGCCGTGTTGTTGTGGATAAATTCTGCATCATACCAGCAATACCGTTTTTACTTGGAGGTCTAGGGGGAATTTTAGAAAACTCTTTGGTTTTAGTTTTTACGTGGTTGTCATCCAAATCTGAATCTGATTCGTCGCTTTTGTTTGTTGCATCTTCTCCTTCGTCGGGGAATACAAGTGTTTCTATAAGTGTGTAAGCCTGTTCCACGTCCCCAAGATGTTGTGACATCTCTAATTCGTCTGGTTCTGGGATGTTGTGTGTAACGTGTAGCTGAGATTTGATGGCCCGCATCCATTCTTTCCTTTCCTGCTCACTGATACAAGAGAGCGTGTATGTTTTAAGCCCCGGATGTGACCCTGCAGGGGCGATAACAAAACACCAATCGTGGGACTTAGAAACAACTCTCTTGACGCGGTTATAGCCCTTTAAGCTAAAACTCTTCGACACGACTTTAGACGTCTCGTCTTGGTAAATGTAAACAGATTCCTTTAGAAGGACAACGAATTTGGTTCGCCATTTACCAATGTTCATCTTTTTGGGTTTTTTCCTGAGAAATCCGTACTTGATTGGCGCCTTTAATCTGAGGAGATCTTGTGCAGACAAAGAACAGCCGCTGATTTGGAACGATAGAGATTTTTTTACTTCTGCCATCGAGACGTTCTTCCAAAAACAGGTGCCTGAAAGTTACACAAAGTAGAACAACTTTATACAGCAGACATATTTTTAAAAGAATAAGAAACCTAAATCAAAGCATAGTTTAAACATTTTTTCTAAACATCAGTAAAATAATTGTCATGCACAAAATGTTCGATCTCTAATTGAGAGGTAGCTAAGATATACTCCAAACTAGTATATATATATATATATATATATATATATATATATATATATATATATATATATATATATATATATATATATAGTAAATTTTAATAAACGTAGTCTGCCAATCGAAATAGCAATATTATTTCGTGTAGTGGATGTTTTAGCGTTCATTTAAATGTGAAATAAGTTTCTGTGAGGTCGTGATAATAGCTCTCTACCAGAGTCGTACGGTGAATGAATCCTTTTAATGTATGGCCATATGTTCGAGTTACCAAACCCAGGCACACATGAAGAATTTCAAGACAAAATCAATGCAGTAATTTCATAGCCCAACCCCCCACCCCCATGCCCAACCCCCTCACCCACTAAACGATTTAAAACCGATGTATCTGGCACTAATCAAAAATAATGTTCGACTTCCTCATTCCTGAAGGAATAAATTTATTTATATGGTTAGGTCGATTTTTAATTCTATTTCTCCAATAAATACTCATGTATACAACAACTTATGTAAACTATATATATACGAGCCGGCCCGCGGCATAACATACGCCGCTATTTAGTTGTTTCTAATTTTCAATAATTCATAATTTGTGAATTCGACAGTACCAACGCTGACACTGAAAATATTTCTTTAAAACACTATAAGTAGCTCGTTAAGGACCATAACCCCCCCCCCCCCCTTCCTTCCCTTTCCCCCCCTCCCCCCCCCCTACGTTTAAAATCGTTGGCTCTGCTTGTAAACATTTAGAGTGAACACAGCTCACTAAAACCATGTAGGGGTGGGGAGGTAGGGAGAGCGTTTGCAGCTTGTTTTCTAACGGCTCGAAGAAGAGAATTATATATATAGATAGATATATATATATATATATATATATATATATATATATATATATATATATATATATATATATATATAGATAGATAGATAGATAGATAGATATAGATATAGATATAGATATAGATATAGATATAGATATAGATATAGATATAGATATAGATATAGATATAGATATAGATATAGATATAGATATAGATATAGATATAGATATAGATATAGATATAGATATAGATATAGATATAGATATAGATATAGATATAGATATAGATATAGATATAGATATAGATATAGATATAGATATATATAGATATAGATATATATATATATATATATATATATATATATATATATATATATATAAAGAGAGAGACGTAGCCTATAGATGAATAAATGTATATAATTGTATTGTATGTGTTTGAGAGAATGCTTTTATCTTTATTTTAAAACATTCTAAATGCACACTAAGCTAAAAATATAATTTATTTACTCAATGAAGTGTACAGTTTTGATTTTAAATATAGTTAAAATAAAAGCTGACGAGCAATAATACCAACAGAATCAACTGTCTATAAGTATATTATTCAAAGTTGTAAGTTACAGAATTATCTCATTACACATGTAACATACCTGTTCAAATTATCACTGTAGTAGAAAAACACACGTGACTTACATAAGCATACAGCGGTGCTAAGCCGTCTACACTGCTATAGCACATAACATACCAGACCAGCACATCGTATATGTTTTGTATTGTCAAGGCATAGACAAAGTCAATACAAGTCTTTACAGAGACTATAGGTTTATTGCATTGCTCTTTATAGACCAAAGTGGTGATCATTCAAACCCTCAATCTACTTCCTGGTTCCTAATCAATTCCACATATATATATATATATATATATATATATATATATATATATATATATATATATATATATATATATATATATATAAACTGAGTTGTCATATCCTGCTGAATTTCAAACCAACCGATCCCTGTGAATATACCCACAAGTTATTTTGGTCTTTTACAAAATAGTAGCGACAGTTGTATACTAGATTTCATTGGACGTGGGCATTCATATGTTACATATAACATCAAGATACGTGTATGTTACAACACACACATACACATACAAACCTAAACAGCATACAAAATAAGTACATTTAATTAGAGATTTCGAAAATTTACGGCTTAATAGGTTCTTGGACCAGCAAGGAAATTTGATGAAGAGAGAACTCACACCGTTTTATTTTGACGACATAGCTTGTCTTGGGTAGTTCCTGGTTAAGATAGAACATTTTTTTGTTCCTGTCGTCTATGTTGCAGAGGTTCGAGTTCCAGCTAGAAAATGGAGATTCGGTTCTAGAAGTTCGTGAACTATTTAGTGTTGCCGTTTCTCTTTCTCTGTTTGAAGTGAGCTGCGTTGACAAAGGGCATCAAGTATCACACGCCATGTTGGTGACAGCTATACATCTTCGATACATTTGAAATGTGTCCATTACAGAGCTGATCAATTGATCTTTTTTGGCGTTTTTATTTTTTTAAACTTTAAAAAAAAAATTACGATTTATTGTTTTGAAAAAAAAATATTTATCGCATCAAATACTATATTTTTGACTTTTGTATTGGGTTTTTCCAAACTTTACCCATAGGGGTCATCGATAAATGTTAGTTTTAACATCCCTCCTCTCAATCGTCACACACAAGCCGACCACCTAGATCTACCCCTACTTTTAAAATAACGCAACGTATCAGCCTACTTCTTCCTTTTCAAAATTGCAGGTTTTAATTTTTTTAAACATCGATTTCTGTCTAAAATAGTTTCTTACCCACCATAAGCTATATTAGTTACTTTGTTTACATTTAAATTGATCTTTTATTTATTCAAATTTAATGGACGTTACATTTAACATTTGTTTAAGTAGCCCTAACTGCGTCTTTTAAAATAAAAGAACTTAACAATTGTTGAACAATAAAACTACTTGTATCAATGAAGCTTGAAACCAGCTCAATAAAAGGTAATTAACAAAACAAAAATGGTGGTATAGCAGTAATAAGTTTTTCTAATTATTTGTTTCATTAGTGGTAAACAAAAGAGAAAGAGGGAGAGCTAAATTTAATTTTAAAATAAATGATATTAGGTCTTTAAAAGAAGGCTATGGTCCGCAAATGTCTGTATTGTTGAGTAACGGCATGTACTGGCAAATAGCGGGAACTAAGGGGACATCATTCTAAAATATATCGTATCTATTTACGATCTCAACGTTCCTGATTTCAGATTTAGGTTGTAGATCTACAACATTTGGGTTAAAGTAAAATAACTTATTTTTCTCAATATTCGAAACAGAAAATAGACCTTTATCACTACCCCTTGTTGCCTTACTTTGAAATTCAAAGCTATATTCAGTTCTAGCTTAATATGTCACTGAGTGAAGTGACTTTCTTTGTTACTTTCGTAATTTACTAAATTTACGGGTCGTAGTGATTGTGATTGTGGCTGTTTCAGACCTCAGACTTAAATTAAAGACTTAAAGATTTTAGTTGACTAAGTTGTGAGTAGGTAGCCCTACTAGTTGAGAGTTGAGTGTACTTACTTAATAAACTAAGTGTAGATCTAGTTGATCTACTTTTAGCAGTAGCTAGCAAGTAGAAACAGTTATAGTAGCAAGAGTTGGTAATCTATCGTTTTGGGTACGTAAAATCGCCCGCGGCTATTAATGTACGAAAACGTTACCTCATTGTCAAGGCTGTAATAGAAGTATATTGTCATATGTTTGTGTCAAATATTATAGATAAATGAATAATAAACCTAAATCAATGGCTAAATATATCGATATAGGCCAGAAATTAACTTTAAACAGCAGTGTCTGAGAGCAAGATTTGCTATATAAACAGCAGCCATTTGTAAAATAGAGTGGCTTCCCCCTGAATCTGGCGCTAAAAGCTTATGAAAATAAAACTTAGACAAGATGGCTGCTGTAGTAAATGAGCATGGTTGCATCTGTTGGAAACATCGCTAGTCTTCATTAATTACGGAAAAGTTTTAATTCAATTGTTTAAAAACAGGTACATAAATGAATCAAGGAAACATTTTTGAATTTTTCAAAACATAAATCCTCCTCAAAATGTGAAATAATTATTAAAATTTAAGGAGTCACCTGTTTTTCACATTACAAATCGCGGGCGATTTTACGTACCCAAAACGATAGATTACCCAAGAGTTTACCCTAGGCCTAATCCTAGGTACTAAATTTTATCATCTAGATCTAGATCTAGATCTAGTGAGATCTAGTGAATGATCGAGGTGTAGGTAGGGTAGGTGAGGTGAAATTCATGACTAATCATGACAACTTGCACTTGGCTTAAATATCGCCTGGTGTACCAAGAGTAAAGTCAAGACAATAGACTAGACTAGAAGTAGAAACAAATTGAATTAGCTAGGCCAATGCCGCTGCCGAGAAAATCGGACAAATCGGCTTTTCCCTACCCCCTGCATGTTTAACTCTGTTTTTTGCATGCTTTTATTTTGTTTATATTAACATGTTATACATCATTCTGTTCGTAATTGAACAACCTTTTTAACTGTATAAGTTTGATTTCTTTATTATTTCAGACGTTGAAGAAATCGCCGATTTAATCGCATTTTTTACCCCCCGCGGCGACGTGCCGATTAGGGGGGAGGCTTTTTCACCTTTTTAAAAGAGGGGTGTTACTTAGAGTCTATAGACTCTTTGAGTTTTCGTACTACAACAGTGAAACTTGGTAGAAAAATAGATTAAATGTTCACGTATAACGCTCAAGGTTCTTGGGAAAAATATGTTAAATACTTTTGGAGATATCGAACGGCAAAGTTGAACTAAGTTATTTGGGCTATTAATGAACCGATTTTTAATTTGAACCTTGAGCTGTATTCCTCTCGACGTTTATTAATATGTATGATATGTCATATTAGGCCCTATAATAAGGACGTCTATAGACTTTGAAGTGGACCGAAAATCAAAACATGACGCGCCGACCGTTGTCCGACTGAACCGCTCGGCTGTGCTTCGAATCGCTGTGTTTTAAATATGACGCGCTACAATTTTTTTTTATAGACGTATCGAGTTTACGTACTACAACAATCAAATTTGGCAGACGAACAGATTAAATGTAGACGTACAACGCTCAAGGTTCGTGGTCAAAATAAGTTAAATACTTCGGGAGATATCGGACCGCAAAGTTGAACTAAGTTTCCTGGTCTATTATTTGACCTATTTTACATTTGAACCTTGAGCTGTATTCCTGAAATCCCACCGATTATTTTAATGTATGACATGTATTATAACACCTCATAATAAAGCCGTCCATACATTTTAAGACGGAACGAAAATAAAAATTAACGCGTTGGCCGCCGTCCGACTGAATCGAGATCTACACATCGTGTAGCACAGCCGAGTGTGTGGTCACGTGACGCTAGGCGGTTGATCCGATTGGATGAGACTATAAACAATTTCTAAAGATAGATACGTGTGTTCCCGTATTTGACTCGTCGGGTATTGCTATTTTATATTTAAGTAGACAGGCATGTTTCATAACTTTGTTTTAAACCATTGAAACGGCAAAAAAAAAAGTCGTAATAGTATTTACTATTCGTCAAAATTAATCTTCTTTAGAAATTAATCAGGATAGCTGCGACCCGACCAAACAATGCTGACGTGATTCGCGTGCCGTAACGTTTCATTATTGTGTACATTACTTTTTCGTAAAAATGGCTTTAAAAAATAAATTAAATTTTACCCCGGGCTCTTTTTTTTCGGTTGACTAAAAAAATTTAAAACCCTTAACAACGTGGAGGTTACTAGCTTGCCAAATCGACCAAAATGGGATGGGGTGGGTATGGGGAGTCACTGACCATCCTACACGGTATGTAACACCGTACGTAACATCCATAGCCTCACCCCGCCCCCACTACTCCGTGATGCGACAAGCCGAGTGACGGCGCCTTTGATGTTGTATAACACCCGAGCGGCTCGCGGTGGTTTCATACCCCACCTTCCTCCCCCTTCACTTTGTGGAGTTGATGTTACTAACCCTCGGGCATAGATCAGGAAATCTTCCTCTAAAATTACATAATATTCGTCTGACACGTTCATCGGGTTGGCCGACTAGCCTATCTAGCCTCGTGTTTACGTAATACGGCAATAAAATTCGTTGGTCAGAAAACCTGGTTAACCACGTCTGATTGAACTAAATCTAGGCAAATGGTGATAAACGCCTCCGGAAACTTAAAAAATGCCTAGCATCTACTACACACAGTCAAGCACTCAAACACGTGCTTTTTTCCCCAATGTAATAGGCCTATGGTAGGCCTACAAAATACACAAGCTTACTACTAGCATAAACATTGAGCATATATAAATCTATGTTATAGACCTATAACTTACACTACCTTGTACAAGCTAAAAAAAAACAATTTTCTTCCAATGTTTATGTTATTAAAATTGTAATAATGAGCAATTTTTTTGTGTTTAAAAATATTACAAAATTGTCATAAAGCACACTGATTCTGATAAGACACATTTGTAACTAGGCTAATTCTATAGAAGAAAGTTGTATCAATGGTATGACATTTAAAGTAACAAGAAATATAAATATAATAAGATATGCCTATATTTTTGGAATAGAGTAGGCCTGTACGATTGCACATAGATTACATAACATATTTTAAGAAGTTACATCATCACAAATATACTATTGTTATAGCATCCTTCTCTTTGTATTAAAACTGTATTAGTTATCTTTTCTTTAAGTAGGCTATTCACTTAAGTTAACTGACAATGAGCAAAGAGATTTTAAAATAAATACATGGTAAATTATGAGCAAAAGGTGCGAATTACATAACCTGACCTTTATAGTTTTGTAATAATGTTCGACCAATTTAAATATCACCATTAGCTTCAGCATATACAAATGTCATATTATGGTTTAAAACACTGTTTAATTTAAAGAATGACTTCTTATCACACGGATTATCAGATGTTGTAAAAAAAAAAGAATGGGGGGTATTACATAATCCATGATATAAGTCTGTTATGTAATCAAAAGACACTTTTTAAAATAGCATCATTGGATTCGGCATACAAAAATCTACAAAATATCATAAAATGACATCAATTGGTGAAGTCTGCTTGCTTTTATACCACTTTTAGTGAAAAACTCTTAAAAATTTGGTCCATACCCTCCCAGTATTTTTCCTCTTTCAGGGTCTACCCCGGTTGTCTGAAAAAACTGCTGTTTTTTAATGACAAAAAAATTCATAACTTTTTTGTTTATGGTCAGATTTTGAAAATTCAAACTGATCTGTAATCAGATTGACAGCCCCTATCCAAATATGTAACTATTTTATTGTTTTACTGAAATTAAATTTTTGCATTGGCCTAGCTAATTGAATACTGAATAGGATTTCAAGAATAATTAAGTAGATATTATTAAGTACAGTGACTGTCAAACTGACTGTCACTGTCATATATAAATGTTAAACCCTATTATTCTGAATGATAACTAGACTTTCAACTTTAGACAAGAGTCTAGATCTATAAGAATTGAAGAATAAAATGTAGGCTAACTCATATTGGGGAAAGTAAGGGCGACTGGGCATAGTGCTGACCACACTATCCCTTCACAGAAACAATTGAACTCAACTTCACTTGCCTCATAATATATCACTTATTTGAAATCTTAAAAATTTTCTAAGAATAAATAAAAATTTGTAAGGCAATTTTTTATTTGAAAATAATGAACATATTTTTTAGTTTACTACTGAATTAGAAGTTCATTTTAAAAATATATTCATTAGGCTGATTGTTTTATCTTTTTCTAGCTGTGTGTATAGTGTACTTGAAAGCTGAGGAGAATGGATGACAACAATGTAAGTATTGTAAGCCTAATTGAAGTGCAGCCTACAGATTACCTCTCCCAGTGTGAGGTGTTTGACAGCACAGGTCCAGGTATTATAACAGCTGAGTGGAATCTTTCATCAGAGTCAACACATCTTGATGACAACTTGCGTCAAATCAAGTCAGAGGTAGAAACTGATGCGATTGAATACAAACATTTACATGTTGTTGACTCCCCAAGTACTGATGACGGTTTAGTTCCTTTTTTTGTCCAAGACGTGGATGAAACTATGAGGCATCACTTGAACTCTACACAATCCATCTTCTACTGCGATGTTTGTAATCAAATTTTCTATTCAGACTCTCAGTTGAGAAGCCATCTTGATTCTCATCTTGAAATTAAATTTTACAACTGTGTTAACAGCGACCAGGATTTTCAATCACCTGATGATTTGGTCCCCAATGTTCTTGCACATAATATTAAAAAAAGGGCTAATAGTCAAAATTCACAGGAAACCCATAAAAAAAAGTATAGAACTAAATCAGTGTTGAAATCAAATGAAAGGAGTGTTGTGTCTTCATCAAAGCGTGTATGTAAAAGGTACAAGTGCCTTGACTGTAATAAGCAGTTTAAAAACGCAGGAGGCTTGAACCTTCATGTGCTCATTCATATTAAAAAAAGTGCCAAAAACTCTAACAAGAAGTTCTACTACACCCTGCGCAGACAAGGTTCTAAAACTGGTTTTAAATCCACCCACCCCAACAAGATACACACAAGAAAAGTTCCCCATAAGCGGGAGATTTGTATAAAGAAAACACAGCAACACAGTAAAGACAAAACAAAACGGCAACTATCTCATAAAAAAGTGAAAGCATCTGCTATTACAATCAATGAAACAAAATCAAACTCTCCAAAGATTCTGAAAGATTCTGAAAAATGTCAACCATTACATAAAGAAAAGAAACAATCCACACAAGCTATTACTAGACCGGGGCCGAAACTTAAAAACAATTTGAAAGAGAACAAACCACTGTGTCTAAGACCAGACCTTATATGTCCAATCTGTAATAAAAAATTTACGTCAAATAGCAAGTTTAAGATCCATCAGGTAGTGCATTCAGAAGAGAGACCTTTTGCTTGTTCGGTCTGTGATAAGAAGTTTAAATACAAGAACAGTTTAGAGTATCATGAGCGTATACATTCTGATCAGCTTTTCCCTTGCAGCACGTGCGGTAAAAGATTCACAAGAGAGTCTGGGTTAAAACGACATCAGATTGTGCATGTGGACTTTAGGCACTACGCCTGTGATATTTGTAACAAGAAGCTTCAAAGTCTGGATGGCTTAAGAAAACATGTGCAGATCCATCTGAAGCTGACTCCGGAAGAGGGTGGCCTGCCTAGTAAAAACACAACCAAAGTAAAGCCAGAAAACTTGACCTGTAGAATCTGTCATAAAATGCAGAACTCTTTAAAAAGTCTGAGAAATCACGAGTCGCTCCATACAAAAGAAAAGCTCCTGATTTGCAACTACTGCGGTAAAAGATTTTTTTACCCGATCCATTTACACCGGCATCTGCAAATGCATTCGGATGTCAGACAATTCTCGTGTATGGAGTGTGGCAGGTGCTACAAGCAGATGACAAGCCTGGCATCTCACATGAAAATTCACGGAAACATTAAGCTGATCAGCTGTGATAAGTGTGATAGGAAATTCAGCCAGCCTTCACACTTAAAGAGACATCTGCTAGTGCATTCAGAGACCAAGCAGTTCATTTGCATTGTGTGTGATCAGCAGTTTAAATTTCCAAACAGTTTGAAGGATCATCTGCTTCGAGTGCATGCTATTTCCACTTGATTGTTGTTGTTAGATCATTTTAGTAGTTCAGGGATAGTGCATGGTGAAACATACTTATTTATTTGTTCTTTATAAACAAGTGGAAACTAAATTAAAAGTCCTGTTATTTGAATAGCCCACATTTTGAAGTGAGAGACATCATGGACAAATGGTGGAGTTGTCGACCTTAAAGTTTTGAGTTTGGATCCCTGGCGTGAGTCCATAGGATGTTCCTCAGTCTTGTTAGAAATAATGCTGACCACATTACTCCTTTATTTGCTGAGGTCATTGAAACTGGTGAACTCTACTCCACCTGTCCCATGGCGCGAAAGGGTAAATTACAATTTAAATATGAATTTTCCTTTTGTTGTTTTAATGTTTGAAGAAGACATTTTAACCTGTTAACAATTTTTATTGGTGTAAGCATGCATCATTTTTTTTAAATTCAAAACTTTAGTTTATTCTTATTATAAGATTGGTTTTTACTAAGATAAAGCTAAAAACACACACATATATGTATCTTGTGTAATTTTTGACTCTCTCAAAATGGACTGGACACAGCTAATGAAAACAGTACTACACAATAATTAAATTAAGCATTCAATATTATGGAAGTTATTTTGTGTAAATAATTTATACACGATGTTAATAGATTTAAAAAAAGTAACATTTCTATTTTATTCTCTAATGAAGTGCATTTTTTTTTATTTTTAAATTAAACCATGTACTACCATAGTCGTAAAAGTGCCCTTTAAAACTTTTAACTCTTGTTTATTAAACGTTTCACAACAAAAAAACAAACATGATTTTCTTAATTTTTTAACATAAGCCACACTAAAGTACATACATTGTCTGTTAATATTTTAATTTATTGTGTATATTGTCAGAATTTTCTGAGAGCTGTTAAGAAGTAAACTTGGTTTAAAGCTTCTGGTCAAGTTAAACTTCCATTGAGGCCTTTCCTCTTGACAGTAACACATTAATTGCATCTATAAATTGAGTATAAAAATAATTAAAGATTACGTCCCTTGCCGAAAAAATGCCTGACCTCTTAGAGTGATGTCCCATCATGACCATTTCTCTAACAAATTTGGCAGTGATTTAAAAAAAAAATTGTTTAAGAAAAATATACTTAGTCACATTTCTTAGGCTCTCACATCCTATTATACCAAACTGGAACACACAGTCACTAAATCCCCCTCTCCCTTGTTCTGTGATGTCATTTACACATTCACTTCCAAAATCCTAAGGGGTCAAATGGTGGAGCGTTGGGTTGCTAGCCCAAAGGTGTCAAGTTCGGATCTCGGTTCGGGCCTGTAATTGTAGGACATCCCAGCTCTGATAGTTACCTGATGCCTTGGGGAAAGTGAAGTCACTTCGTATGCTGAAGTCAAGAAACATAAGACTTAATTTATATAGGCCTACCATGTGGATTGAGAGGTCTGAAAGGGGAACTTTACTTTCCAAAATTCTCCTCCCTTTTATAATTTTTTCTGGGCCTTTGTTTTGTTTCATTCCTATTGTTACTCCTCTTTTTCAAAATTCTCCTCCCTTTTATAATTTTTTCTGGGCTTTTGTTTTGTTTCATTCCTATTGTTACTCCCCTTTTCCAAAATTGTCCTGCCTTTTATAATTTTTTCTGGGCCTTTGTTTTGTTTCATTCCTATTGTTACTCCCCTTTTCCAAAATTCTCCTCCCTTTTATAATTTTTTTTGGGCCTTTGTTTGTTTCATTCCTATTATTACTCCCCTTTTCCAAAAATGCTTGTGACAATCACAATCTCTGTTCGCAACTCAGAGTTTGTCTTGTAATAATAGTTGTAAGTCATGTCCATGTTACTAATGCACTGTCTTTTAGATAAATAGCTCGCTTATGAAACTTGAAGTAAAATACAGTCGACATTTCTAGAATCCCAAGGTAATATTGGCAAAGTTAATTTTTAAAAACATATCTATCTAAATAGATATATAACATAAAACATGTAGATAAAAATTATTTTAAAAGAAGAAAAAAAACTAACTTTGAGGTTGGAAAGGCATCCTTTTATTGTCTAAACAAAAGATTGAAGTAAAAAATATTGTTCACTTTTCTACAATTCAAGGTATTTTAAAAATTATCTATTTAAATTGAAAAATAACATTATTTTAAAATTTAAACAAGAAAACACCGCACCTTTGAGGTTGGAAAGGCAGCAGTAAATAATAATCATATATAAAAGCGCAAAAAGAATATCATATTACATTATAAAAACATTTAGTGGACGGATTAGACAGTAGAAGTAGGCAGAAAGTTTTTACTGGTAGGTGGTCGGTTAAAAAAGTTTAAATATGTATATAATTGTTGGTTTTATGACACTCAAAATTTACTTGGAAAGTCTATTCGCTTTTCATGATGACTCTAAATTACTTCCTCAACACTTTGAATATGCGTTAGTGTTAAAGAGCCTATGCGGTAGTGTCATCGAGGGGGGGGGGGCTCCTGAGAGCGCCCCTCTACGTCCCTGACACATGGGCGGTCACCGAAGTGTGTTCTACCTCATTTTATTCGGTGAGTGATTAATGTACACTCAAGGTTTTCATGCGGTAGTGTAGGTAAACCCGTGTCCCGATATTTATGATCCAAGCGCAGGCATTGTTTACCTTAAAATAACTCACTTTTAGAAAACAAGGTCACTCGTTTAAGAATATAGGATTGGTAACGCATGGATGAAACCCTTCTTATATATTTCGTCCGACTTTCTTCTATTCCCGCGGCAACGCGCGGGTACAGGTACCCTAGTACATTATAAAAAAATGCAGATAAAAAAGATAAACCTTATAAATCATCTTTGGGGTTATTCCCCGTTTAACATTTGTTATCGAATACATATCAACATGTTTACATTACATATAAGTAAATTAACAACAGTAATAAAAAAAATTGAAAATAATATTTAAAAATTATTCAGATCACATTTTATGGTGATTGTTATTCAAAAGAATAACAAGTTAACAATAACAATTGTTCCATTTAAAAAACAAAATAATGAAAAAACTTGTATTTAAAAAAAGCTAAAACTAAAAAGAAATGGGGAAAAAAAATTAAATATACATATTTTAGATATTTATTTGAATTATAGACACAATAACATTATTAGCTAAGCATTTTTCAAGGGAATAATAACATGTTTGCTAATTGATACAAATTTTAAAAAGAATACATTTGTAATTTTAAAAAATCTAATAATTAAAAAACTTTCAAACAAATTTTAAAATATTAATATTTTAAGGCCTTTAGTATCATAAAAACAATAGCATTTTAAGCTCAGCTTTAGTGGATTTAGAATATAATGGTGTATAAATTTAGAAAAAAAAATTTGAATTTGAAGTTGCGTATGTAGGTACGTACATGTAGCCTATATAATATGAATGTTGTTAAAATAAAGGGAAATAATAGCATTAACTTGAATTAAAACATTCCTAAACATAGTGTGTCCCTTGTTTAGAAAATTTTAAATTTTCAGTTAATTAATTTTCGCTGTTGTTGTAATGTTCGTAAGGTGTCCCTGTGTAAAAAATAAATTTATCTAGAGAGTAGCTGTCCACAGAGTAGTAAATAATGCGTTGTCCTGTTTTCTTTCAAGTTTAAATTGCAAGTAAAATACGTCCGCTTTTCCCGATCGCTCAAAATTTGATCAGACAAGGGCAATTTTGTTGTTTAGCAGTGCAGATGAAACCCTTCTTATATATTTCGTCTGACTTTCTTCTATTCCCGCGGCAACGCGCGGGTACAGGTACGCTAGTACATTATAAAAAAATGCAGATAAAAAAGATAAACCTTATAAATCATCTTTGGGGTTATTCCCCGTTTAACATTTGTTATCGAATATATATCAACATGTTTACATTACATATAAGTAAAGTAACACCATTAATAAAAAAATTGAAAATAATATTTTAAAATTATTCAGATCACATTTTATGGTGATTGTTATTCAAAAAAATAACAAGTTAACAATAACAATTCTTCCATTTAAAAAACAAAAAATTAAATAACTTGTATTTAAAAAAAGCTAAAACTAAAAAAATGGGTTAATTTTTTTTAAATATAAATATTTTTAGATATTTATTTGAATTATAGACACAATAACATTATTAGCTAAGCATTTTTCAAGGGAATAATAACATGTTTGCTAATTGATACACATTTTTAAAAGAATACATTTGTAATTTTTAAAAATCTAATAATTAAAAAACTTTCAAACAAATTTTAAAATATTATTATTTTAAGGCCTTTAGTATCATAAAAACAATAGCATTTTAAGCTCAGCTTTAGTGGATTTAGAATATAGTGGTGTATAAATTTTGAAAAAAAAAGTTGAATTTGAAGTCTCGTATGTAGCCTATATAATATGAATGTTGTTAAAATAAAGGGAAATGATAGCATTAACTTGAATTAAAACATTCCTAAACATAGTTGTGTCCCTTGTTTAGAAAATTTTCTATTTTCAGTAAATTTTCGCTGTTGTTGTAATGTTCGTAAGGTGTCCCTGTGTAAAAAATAAATGTATCTAGAGAGTAGCTGCCCACAGAGTAGTAACGAATGCAATGTCCTGTTTTCTTTCAAGTTTAAATTACAAGTAAAATACGTCCGCTTTTCCTGATTGCTCAAAATTTGATCAGACAAGGGCAATTTTGTTGTTTAGCAGTGCAGATGAAACCCTTCTTATATATTTCGTCTGACTTTCTTCTATTCCCACGGCAACGCGCGGGGACAGGTACGCTAGTACATTATAAAAAAATGCAGATAAAAAAGATAAACCTTATAAATCATCTTTGGGGTTATTCCCCGTTTAACATTTGTTATCGAATATCTATCAACATGTTTACATTACATATAAGTAAAGTAACAACATTAAAATAAAAAAGTGAAAATAATATTTTAAAATTATTCAGATCACATTTTATGGTGATTGTTATTCAAAAAAATAACAAGTTAACAATAACAATTCTTCCATTTAAAAAAAAAATAATGAAATAACTTGTATTAAAAAAAAAAAGCTAAAACTAAAAATAAATGGGGGGAAAAAATTTAAACATAAATATTTTTAGATATTTATTTGAATTATAGACTCAGTAACATTATTAGCTAAGCATTTTTCAAGGGAATAACAACATGTTTGCTAATTGATACAATTTTTTAAAAGAATACATTTGTAATTTTTAAAAATCTAATAATTAAAAAACTTTAAAACAAATTTAAAATATTAATATTTTAAGGCCTTTAGTATCATAAAACAATAGCATTTTAAGCTCAGCTTTAGTGGATTTATAATATAGTGGTGTATACATTTTGACAAAAAAAATTAAATTTGAAGTCTCGTATGTAGGTACGTACATGTAGCCTATATAATATGAATGTTGTTAAAATAAAGGGAAATAATAGCATTAACTTGAATTAAAACATTCCTACGTACATGTAACCTATATAATATGAATGTTGTTAAAATAAAGGGAAATAATAGCATTAACTTGAATTAAAACATTCCTAAACATAGTTGTGTCTCTTGTTTAGAAAATTTTAAATTTTCAGTACATTTTCACTGTTGTTGTAATGTTCGTAAGGTGTCCCTGTGTAAAAAATAAATTTATCTAGAGAGTAGCTGTCCACAGAGTAGTAAATAATGCGTTGTCCTGTTTTCTTTCAAGTTTAAATTGCAAGTAAAATATTAAGTCCGCTTTTCCTGATCGCTCAAAATTTGATCAGACAAGGGCAATTTTGTTGTTTAGTAGTGCAGATATATAAAGATCGAGGTCTTGGACTACAGATGCAAGTCGGTTTGCTACATTGGTATCTTTAGCTATAGTTACCAGTGTTTCTTCCAGACATTTTCTCCGGGGGGGGGGGCACTTGAAATTTTCGGGGGGGGGGGGGGGGCGGTAGTCTTTCTTGGGGGGGGGGGGGGGGCGGACACTGTTAAAAGTATTTATTTTCTATATAAATTATATAAATTTCGTTTCGTCCGGGGGGGGGGGGGGGGTGGGGGGCGGTAAAAAATTTCTCCGGGGGGGCACTTGAAATTTTCGGGGGGGGGCGGTAGACTTTCTTCGGGGGGGGGGGGGGGGGCGGACAGTGTTAAAAGTATTTATTTTCTATATAAATTATATAAATTTCGTTCGGGGGGGGGGGCGGTAAATTTTTTCCGGGATGCCTGGAGGAAACTCTGATAGTTACGCTATAGCCAGCTGGGAGGGGAAGCCTAATATGTGGTTCGGTGAGACGAACGAGTAAAATATGTATTATTAGATTTTGCTGTATTCTCTGTACATTTCAAGCATGTCTGTAAAAAGTTGGTCATGTTACATAGAGGCGGAGTGTTGCGTGCTGCTCCAAGTTTAGCTCGATACTCCTCCGTCAATGAGGGCTTGTAAGCATCTCCTGTTTTTCTCAAAAATGACTCCCCTGGGTAGAGTCCTCCTGTCTGACATACGTCTGATTCAGTGTGGATGCACTCATTCCCATTTCCTGAAGGCGAAAGTAGTTTCGTTTCACATTGTGCATTTTCTTCGCTCACGATACTGTTGCAGGCTCGTATTTGATTTTGAATGGCGCGAATCCATTCTCCTCTTTCTTGATCACTGACGCAGGCGAAAGTAATGACGCGGAGAGATTTAGAGGCGGGCAGGATGGAGAAGCACCACTCGTGGACTGTCGACTCCTCTCTCTGAACTCTATTGTAGCCCCGCAGCAAGATTGTATCGTTCGGTGCCTTGGACAGCTCGCTGTTGTAGATGTACAGGGAGTCGCTCAACAGGACGACGAACCTATGCTTCCACTTGCCGTTTTCTGTCTTCGGTTTTATTCGTAAGTTTCCGGTCTTGATCAAATTATTGGATAACTGAATAAAATCTTGAGCGGAGAAATTTTTCGACATACTTCTTGTGGATTTCAAACTTTCTTGCATTTTTTGAGATGGCCAGTTTATGGTCTGCAAAATAGAATACACGTGCATACGATATTTTTCAGAGATTTCTATTTCACGTGTATCGCATTTATAATTAAATCTAAATTAAAATTCAATAGCAAGACATTCAAGTCCGATAGGTTTTTCGTTAGCAGAAAATACTAATAAATGAGAATATAGGCCCTATGCTTAATTCTAATTGCTAATGCTTAAAATATTAATGGGATTTTAAAACCAATACATCCTTAAAACGTTTCACGTAGTTTTTATATATATATATATATATATATATATATATATATATATATATATATATATATATATATATATATATATATATATATATATATAATCATGTTTGTATGTGTTCTATTAGAATTGTACACTTACTTTTGTACACTGACGTGTGTCTGGTATTTTATCTACTATCTCCCAACTGGTACTGATTGAATCTTGTTTTACAATGTTCAGGTTCAATAACTCCTGTTTTGATAGTGTAATGCGAGTGATTGTTATTTGATAACCATCTTCGCTGAGCTGCCACTTCAGTGGACTAGAGAACTGATGCACGGCATCTTCGGATAGCTGTAGTCTGAAGTACTTGTCTTTTAATGCCTCTACACTTGTTTTAGCCGGCATTTTTCCACTGAGACTAAACACTATTGTGTCATTTCCTGGAAAGCGTATTCCTCCTTCAAATTTACAGTGACCATCCCACACAGTTTTAAGATTGAAACTGATAGTTTGAGGTGTTGTTGTTTCTAATCTGCTAGCTGTATGCAGTATGCGATACATGTGCAGTGTCTGGGCTCCAAATTTTTTTGACAACGGATCTGTTCAGAATTAAAACAATGCTACATTTGCCTCGTATCACCAGAAAAAAAAAAAAATTTGAATATATAAATATGTTGTTAACTTTACGAAGACTTTATGGTTTATAATCGACAATTTCCTATCCATAATACGTCAATTTAGCACAAGTTATCTTCTCCTTTCTCCCTCTCTCACTAATACTTATATATATATATATATATATATATATATATATATATATATATATATATATATATATATATATATATGCATATATATATATATATATATATATATATATATATATATATATATATATATATATATATATATATATATATATATATATATATATATACAAACTCGCATATGCATGTACACACTCACTGATACATACAAATATACATTCGTGTATATACATAAGAAATCAACACATGTATACATGGATTTTGTGGATAGAGCTAGAAAAAATGGATTCTACAAAACGTTCACCTCCCCTACTCCACGTCACTTACATATCCTTGATGATGACCTCAGAGTGCTGATTAATGACGACTTAAGACTGAATGGTTTGTCTAACTGAACCTGGAATCATGGTTGAAAAATAATTTAGAAAACATTTTTTAAATTATTCCATTCAGTGCGGCATTTTAAAAATAGATACGTGGTGTATGGGAAGAAAAGTTTGAAGTGTGATAAAGAATCTCACCAATGTATAGGTCGTAATTTATTAAATGAAGTATAAGAAGTGAAGACATTGATGTGGCACTAAAAAAACCCTAGTAATAATAAGAAGAATGAGTGGTGATTCAGTAGAAGGAGTGATTGCTAGCTTAAAGTCCCGAGTTCAAATCCTTGGGCAGATTAGGCCCGCTAGCTAAGGACAGTAACCCATCTAGGAAAGATAACTCGAAAATCAACTGCTGTCTTGGAGCTTTGGTGGGTTATCGCTGAATTTGGATTCAATGGGCCTTAACACATTATCACGTGATACGTCATCGCGTTGGAGGAAATCCCTTGCAATGTTAAAATTATGAACGAAGAATATGAAAAAAATAAAATGACAATCAGATAAAATATTAATACCCCTCTTCCATTTGACTCTTCATTTTGAGTTGAAGGCTGATTTGTGATGATCCACTTCGTTTCAACGGAATCTTTTGTCACCACGTCAAGATCAATCAACTCTTGTCTGGATAAAGTTATGGCACTGTTCTTCAGCTCAACACCCTGCCATTCCAACTGGCTGCTAAAGACGTAGAACGCCTTGTCTGAGACCCCCAAGGTGCAGCACATCCTGCTAGTCTGGCACTCGAGGCTGTCAGGTCTCGTCACGCTACCAGCAAGGCTGAAGACGACCGTGTCGTCACCAGGAAAACTAACACACCCTTCCAGTACACACCAATCATTTTTAACGCTATTAATAGGAAAACGAAGACTCTGTACCGTTTTCGTATCGAACCTTCTGTTAATGTTTAGTATACGATAGATGTATATCTTCTCGTCCTCAGTGGAAAAAGTGGACAGCAGATGTCTTTCTATATGAAAAATAAATATTTGAAATACAGAAGTTCTGTGTCTATAAAAGTAATATTTCAAACCTTACGGTTAATGTGGAAGATGAATTGAGCAGAGGCGTAGCGAGGGGAGGTGCGGGAGGGTACATATGTCCCCGGGGCACCGACCCTAGGGGGAGCCAAACTTTCCCTAAAGCGGGTTAGGTGATCACTAAAGCCGGGTGGACCCAGGGACGTTCTATGGACTCTAATCATAATCTATTTACTTTAGTTTAGCTTTGTGTTTTCGAAGTAATCAACGCTGCTTAATTACAAAAAACGTCGTTATTTTTAATTGAACACTTAAAACTTAAAACTACTTTGGTTTTTTTTTTTACATGGCAACGAGTATTAGTTAGGTCACGTGTCTTATGTGGGGATTAGCCATTGATTATTGATTATCGATTCAATAACAACCAAAGGCACACAATGATGACTCGACGTGGCCAGATGGTAGAGCGCATGACTGCTAACCCAAAGGTCTTAATGGTTCTGATGGGTACCTGTCTAACGTAAGGAAAAGTAATGTACAACTCACTATACTTTTACTCTCTGATGGGTACCTGTCTAAACTAATGGAAGAAATATAGAACTCTCTACACTATAACTCTCTGATGGGTACTGTCTAACCTAAGGGGAAGTAATATAGAACTCACTACACTATAACTCTCTGATGGGTACCTGTCTAAACTAATGGAAGAAATATAGAACTCACTACATTATCACTATCTGATGGGTACTGTCTAAACTAATGGAAGAAATATAGAACTCACTACACTATAACTCTCTGATAGGTACCTGTCTAAACTAATGGAAGAAATATAGAACTCACTACACTATAACTCTCTGATAGGTACCTGTCTAAACTAATGGAAGAAATATAGAACTCACTACACTATAACTCTCTGATAGGTACCTGTCTAAACTAATGGAAGAAATATAGAACTCACTACATTATCACTATCTGATGGGTACTGTCTAAACTAATGGAAGAAATATAGAACTCACTACACTATAACTCTCTGATAGGTACCTGTCTAAACTAATGGAAGAAATATAGAACTCACTACACTATAACTCTCTGATAGGTACCTGTCTAAACTAATGGAAGAAATATAGAACTCACTACACTATAACTCTCTGATAGGTACCTGTCTAAACTAATGGAAGAAATATAGAACTCTCTACACTATAACTCTCTGATGGGTACTGTCTAACCTAAGGGGAAGTAATATAGAACTCACTACACTATAACTCTCTGATGGGTACCTGTCTAAGGGAAGTAATATAGAACTCAATACACTTTAACTCTGATGGGTACCTGTCTAACGTAAGGGGAAGTAATAAAGAACTCACTAAACTATCACTCTCTGATGGGTACTGTCTATGCTAAGGGGAAGTAATATAGAATTCACTACACAATCA